ATAGATGTAGTCATTCTATACTCCCAATATTTCTTACAATTAATCAGAGCTAACCAAATTTTCAAACTCCCAGAATTTCTGTCACAAACACAAATAGTAAACAATCTTATATTATCCATCAGTGGTGTTTCTCACTTTAATTTCAGCCTTAGCCTTTTGATTTTGGGAAAAATTATTACTGTGTTAAGGTTAGATTTTTAGAAAAACTGCATGATTTTAAAGAAAATTTCCATTGGGAGGTCGCTAATTTATAAAGTGTAAGATCACCGTCTATGATAATTGTCATGTAATTATTAACACTGTCACAGTTATTCTAATTTCATAAGGTAATATTATCTTGTAACATCAACACAAGTTTTAATCATTTTATCCAATTCTATTATTTTTGGCGAAAAAGGTCGTCCTTGCACATAAAATTGCTATAAAGAACTCATCTGACAAGAATAATTGTTAATTTCTTTGCTTGCTATGATCACAGTATTATTTTCAGAGATTATGGGAAAATTGTCATCTGCTAAAAGTGCTGTTTGCTTACTTTTTTGAATTTATCCAATTTTCTCTAAATTAAAACAGCATGCCTCCAGAAGAAAACAGAAAATCTACTAATATAAAATAGTAGAAAGAAATATCACTTTAAAACTGCATATTTTGACAGTTTTTTTCTTACTTCTTATGTTCATATTCTGGCATTCATTAAATATCATCAAGGTTGTTTTCTAGTGCAACTTGACGGTGATGTGAAAATCAGGGGATGCCTGGACTTCAGAATGGTGTGCATAATAAACAACTACTATATCGATTTTAAATCATTATTGAAATATGATAAGAGTTTAACATTAACTTATTTGAAATAACATCCTGAAATCTGGTGTACAAGATCATAGGATCATGAAAAGACATGTTTTATTGACCATTTTGTTGAATTTCTTCAATAGGTCAATACAGTCAAAATGGATTTTTCACATTAAACATAATTAGACCTGTATTTACAATAAGCTGAAATTTTATTTCATATTTTCATTTTACCATCATTCTGGAGGCATTCTTCTTTGATAAAACAAAAAAAATCAATAAAGTGACAGCTTGGTATCTGACAAGATGCTAAGGTACTGTCTGAGGTACTAGCTGAGGCCCTCTAAGGTTCTAGCTGATGTTTTCTTTGAGGTACTGTCTGAGGTACTAGATAAGGTACTAGCTGAAGAACTAGCAGTCATACTAGCTGAGGCATTGTCTGAGACTCTCTCTTAGGTACTGTCTTAGGTACTAGTGGAGGTACTTTCTGAGGTACTAGCTGAGGTTCTGTCTGAGGTACTAGTGGAGGTACTAGCTGAGGTTCTGTTTGAGGTACTAGCTGAGGTTCTGCCTGAGGTACTAGTTGAGGTACTAGCTGAGGTTCTGTCTGAGGTACTAGCTGAGGTACTAGTCTGAGGTACTAGCTGAGGTACTGTCTGAGGTACTAGCTGAGGTTCTTTCTGTGGTACTAGCTGAGGTTCTTTCTGAGGTACTAGCTGAGGTACTGTCTGAGGTACTAGCTGAGGTTCTTTCTGAGGTACTAGCTGGGGTACTAGTGGAGGTACTAGCTGAGGTACTAGCTGAGGTTCTGTCTGAGGTACTAGCTGAGGTTCTGCCTGAGATACTAGCTGAGGTTCTGTCTGAGGTACTAGCTGAGGTTCTGTCTGAGGTACTAGCTGAGGTTCTGTCTGAGGTACTAGCTTAGGTTCTGTCTGAGGTACTAGCTGAGGTTCTGTCTGAGGTACTAGCTTAGGTTCTGTCTGAGGTACTAGCTTAGGTACTATCTGAGGTACTAGTGGAGGAACTAGCAGAGGTACTAGCTGAGATACTAGTGGAGGTACTAGTGGTGGTACTAGCAGAGGTACTAGCTGAGGTATTGTCTGAGGTACTAGTGGGGGTACTAGATGATCCCAGCTGGAACAAATAAGGAGTCCTAAACTTGTTAAATTCCAGTATTCCCTAATTTGAGAAATTTATAATGCCATGGATGTAAAAACTTAAGTCACACATACACTAAATTTTCATTTTTAACATAAATAATTTTATAAATGATATTTAAATATGCAAAAAATAACTGTCTCTATAGGCATTTTATGTAAACAGCACTGTAAGTTTTCGCCTACAGAGTTAGTTTCGCCTACAGAAGCATAAAGCCTAGACACAGAGTAGTTTTTTTATTGTCTTTTAACATGTAAATAAGCTCTAATGGCGTTTTTAACGGTTGTGATGCTTTGCTGTAGGCAGTACAAATTTAGAAGTGAAACTTGTACTCAGCAGAAAGTTTATGTTTTGAGAATGAGGAATGTCTAACTGATGCAGACTGTTGAAAAGTGTGAACAATGTGTACTTTTTATCATTCTATTAAGTGGCTATTCTCCATGCACAAAGTGCAGTACTTTAAATAATTGAGTATGTTGAAGTATTACAAGTAAATACATGAGTTTGTAGTGTTTCTTTATTTCTTCTTCTGTTACACCCATTTTGCAGACAAATTATATTTTTACTTACAGAAAGGAAATGTTATTTTATTTGCCTGGTACCTGTTTACCTTGGCATTGATAAATGAATTCCAGCCTCCAACCAATAATTAGCAGTTTAATGAAAATAGACACTGTAGTTTTAATAATTTTTGAAAAATGATTGCATGAAGATTTGCAGTTTATCTTTCATTCATTATATACATTTTCTAACATAAATATGAATTAAGTGAAGGAATTAAGTAAAATTCTTGTAGAATTTATATATTTTAATAATATTGACTATAATCAGTATTATAAGAAAACAAGAAAAATATGCATAAAATAGGGTAATTAAAGTGAACTTAATAACCACTACAATTAAAAAAAAAATCACAAAATTAGATGCAGACATGCAGTATTTTAAATGTATCAAAACTAGTGATGTTCCGATTGTCGCAAGTCGCGAATAATCAGTTACTGTTATGTAAAACGACAATAATCGATTCACAAAAATTTGTTCCGCGAGTCGAAAACGTTTAAAGTATCAAAGGGAATTAATTCTGACGTTAATTTTCTTTTTGGAACACCTCACCGATCGCAAAAAATCATCTCAGAGACAATTTGGAGTTGAACAGGATCAATAAGAGATTTAAACAATAGTAGATATAATGTGATGTGAATGGTATTATTTGACATCCATTGAAAAATAAAATCTATTTCCTAAAATTATGACTATATAAGGCTAAAACTGTGTTGAAAAGTGCTTAATGGAGTTCGTGTTACTAAATATTATCAAGTGCGTTGGTAAGAAATGTTACTTCCCTATTTCTTTTTAACGCGACTTTATTCGAAAGTTATCGATTATGTCCCATCCGACTGAACCGATGATCGATTGGGACAAATTTCATCTGATTTCCATCACTCACTAATCAAAACAGAAACATTGACAGTTGTTTCTGATGACACCTTAATATGTGTTTTGTATAGCATTTTCGTAACAGTTAATTGTCCAAGTTGTACCTGTAACATCAATTTAAAGTTTCATACTTTAAATCATACAGAGTCTTTATTGAAATGTTAGTATTTTGAAAAAATTAAAATAACTTGCAATGATAGAATTAAGGTTACATGGATCATTATCCTCCATATTTCCCCCATTGCTATGTAATTTTCATGTTTGATGAAGAAATAGGGCACACAATTTATAAAAATTTAAAAACCTAATTGTTATGCATTATTTCAAAGACTATTTTAATTGATGTTAGATTTTCAGTATGATCTAATTGCTTGCTTTTGGTTCATTTCTATCAGTATATACAAGATGTGGTAGTTGTCCTTTGTTTTGCTTGAGTGCAGCTCAGCTGTTTCACTTTACAATCTGTCACTGCTTTGTGTAATATTGTTTAAGCAATATGGTGATTTTAAGATGATGGAGCAATTTATATTCTTCAGAAATGTCAAAGTAATCAGTGTGTGTTGAAATTTTTTAAATGTTTTTGTTTAAATTTTCCCAGAAATCAATGGGGCTGGTGCTGAGCTGTCGTAAATCACAGCGTAACAAAAACAATTTTCTTCCTATAGAAGCAAAGTTGAATGAGGATGTGAAATACGTTTAAATAATTTAGTACCCTTTAGTTTCAGTTTCAGTGATTACTGGACAACCTTTAACTATTCTCTGTACATCTTTACAGACATGTAAGTTAAGTCAAGGTACAGATTATAGTCTGTCTTAGGAGAGGATATTTTGCATTTAAAATTTTTGTTTCCTGTACTGATGGGGTAAATGATATTCCTGCAGGTTATTTTATTTATGGCAAAGGCATGTTAATAATTAAAGCTAATCTAAAAACATGTATTGCCAATCAAACATAAATCAAGGATGTCCGAGATGTTTTCAAACATATACATTAGTGGATATCATATTATTTGATTAATTTTAAATGATTCAATAACTAAATAGTAATGTTGATGGACTTACAAGTGTGATTGGTTGTTTGTGTTTTGTCTTACATATTCCTGACACACAGTGACACAATTATCACATATGCTACTTCTGCAAACTCGATCGCTGTTGTTGTCCCCTTGTTATTTGGACAGTTATATGTTTTATAGTTTAAAAATAATTTATTGCACATAATAAACAAAGTCATTTATACATAAATATATATTTATATTCAATTATACAAAAATGTTGGGCCAAAAGTTTTTTATCATTATTTTGGGGTGTGAGGGAGTTGAGGAAGCTGTCCTTCTCTGACAAGTTATGGGGGGGGGAAGCTGTCCTTCCCTGAAAAGTTATGATAAACAGAAAAGGTTAGAGCAACATTGCATTCATAAAATTCAAGAAAAAAGAATTAAAAAAAAAATTTAAATGAGAATTTTATTTTGGAATATTTAGCTAATTTTTGTATATTTGATTCCTATTATGCACCTTACGTGTACATCTATATTGATTCTTTTGGTTCATAATTTATTTTATATTCTTAAACTGTTGAAAAATTGCTGATGCTGTTTTTTTTTGTATTTCAGAAGAGCAGCCTGCAATTCCAAGTGAGTATAATTGTTGTGTTTGTTTAAACAATATATGTTGGTAAACTGTTGGTTTGAATCTAGGACACCTGGGATTTTATTTTTTATTTTCGCCCGAGAACTTCTGGGATTATATTGGCATGGTGTTGTTTGACCTTTCAATGGCACTACCAGAAATAAATAATGGGAGCCATCTGTGAACAAAACAAAAGAGAACAATAAAATTCATTCTGTAACAATAGAATCAGGGGCCAATGCCCCCCTATGAAACAATAGAAAAAATATAAGAAATGGCACCATATTTGGTCTCAGTCTGTCTGTCAGTAGAAGGATATCAATTATTTTGTTCATATTTGGCATGTAAATATGTTATATCAGAACATGTTTAAGTTTGATTCCTATAAACTTCAAGTCTTACTGGTTTCAGCAGGGTCCCATGTAAAAAAGACTACTGCAATGACAGTCCCAGTAGTTTCATTATCAAAACATGGCTCTATGTAAAAATAATGATGAAATTGGTTTGATTATATGAAAAACAAATTATGAAAGGCAAAATTACTGAACCAGATGTATATTTTTATGCAAGAGTAGCACTTACACACCTTTTTGTGTATCAACATGTAAGGAAACCATTTAACTTACTAAATTCCTCACCATGTTGGCTCAGTCTTTCAATAGCTTGTGATTCTGCACTTGTAAATATGCATCAACCCTCTTTCATGTGATTGTTCATAAACAATGGATATTGTAGAATTAATAAATTAAATGAGACTTACCTGGAAGTTGAAGTTCAATTATTATTCTACTGCTACTGGACCACAGGGTTTAATGAGATGAACATATGATCTTATCAGATGACCACGCAGACTTTCAGAGCATACATAATTATTCAAAATGCGACAATGGCTTATACATGTACATATGGGAGGGAAAACCGGGTGGGCAATAAACCCTGTGGTCCAGTAGCAGTAGAATAAAAATTGAACTTCAACTTCCAGGTAAGTCTCGTTTAATTTATTAATTCTACTGCACTGGACCACCTAGGGTTAATGAGATTTTAGAGGCCATGCTCGCATTTTGATAAGTCGTTAAAACTTCATAACCAAGTTCAATGATTACGCATTCAATCTACGACTATTAACGTTTCAAAACTGAAAATGTAATGTACAAAATAAAGTATGCAATAGCCATATACATAAAATGCTGTAAATGTAACAATCATTAAAAAAGAATACTATTCCCTATTTCTACTGTGCGGAAAAGGTCATTAGGCTTGATCCCTGCTGCAATGTTACATTGCAAAATTGATACATTGTATTGTATATTGTAAACAGAAAATTGCAAACAAGTTTGACACACATATACTGTATAGCATAAAATTCTTTCACATGTAGTGATATTCGAAGTTTTCTATGGTTTTAAAGCAACACATTTATGCTTTAATTATAATTTCTTTAGGCACGATTTCTGATATCTTGCAAAATCAGTGTTTTTAAATTGCTGATCTGCCCATTAAGCCTAAACCTGCCATTATTCGTTTATATTATTTACATTTTTAGCTCGACTATTCGCAGAATAATCGAGCTAATGCAGTCACCCATTTGTCGGCGTCGGCGTCGGCGTCGGCGTCCCTGTGGTTAAGTTTTTGTATGTAAGCTGGTATCTCCATAACTACTGAAGGGAATGGATTGAAACTTCACACACTTGTTCTCTGTGATTATCTAAGATGATTGGCACAAGTCCCATAACTCTGATTTGCTTTTTTACATAATTATGCCCCTTTTTCGACTTAGAAATTCTTGGTTAAGTTTTTGTATGTAAGCTGGTATCTCCATAACTACTGAAGGGAATGGATTGAAACTTCACACACTTGTTCTCTGTGATTATCTAAGATGATTGGCACAAGTCCCATAACTCTGATTTGCTTTTTTTCATAATTATGCCCCTTTTTCGACTTAGAAATTCTTGGTTAAGTTTTTGTATGTAAGCTGGTATCTCCATAACTACTGAAGGGAATGGATTGAAACTTTACACACTTGTTCTCTGTGATTATCTAAGATGATTGGCACAAGTCCCATAACTCTGATTTGCTTTTTTTCATAATTATGCCCCTTTTTCGACTTAGAAATTCTTGGTTAAGTTTTTGTATGTAAGCTGGTATCTCCATAACTACTGAAGGGAATGGATTGAAACTTCACACACTTGTTCTCTGTGATTATCTAAGTTGATTGGCACAAGTCCCATAACTCTGATTTGCTTTTTTACATAATTATGCCCCTTTTTCGACTTAGAAATTCTTGGTTAAGTTTTTGCATGTAAGCTGGTATCTCCATAACTACTGAAGGGAATGGATTGAAACTTCACACACTTGTTCTCTGTGATTATCTAAGATGATTGGCACAAGTCCCATAACTCTGATTTGCATTTTTACATAATTATGCCCCTTTTTCGACTTAGAAATTCTTGGTTAAGTTTTTGCGTGTAAGCTGGTATCTTCATAACTACTGAAGGGAATGGATTGAAACTTCACACACTTGGTCTCTGTGATTATCTAAGATGATTGGTACAAGTCCCATAACTCTGATTTGCTTCTTTGCATAATTATGCCCCTTTTTCGACTCATGAATTCTTGGTTAAGATTTTGTATGTAAGCTTGTATCTGCATAACTACTGAAGGGAATGTATTGAAACTTGAAGAGTTTGTACCTTTTCGGACAATTTTATGTTATTCATATAGGTAAGCATTATTATACTCAATGAAACACCCTTGTGACAAATTTTCGAATAGTCGAGCGTTACTGTCCTCCGACAGTTCTTGTTTTTTTTTTTTTTTTCACATTCTGTGCTATTTACTTCAGATCAAAGTTAGATTATAAGTAAATCACATGTTTTTAATGCATTTTGACAACAGTATAAAATGCATTCTCCCCCCCCTCCCCCCTTTTAGCTCACCTGTCACAAAGTGACAGGGTGAGCTTGCTTTTCGTCCGGCGTCCGTCCGTAAACTTTTGCTTTAAATGACATCTCCTCATAAACCACTGAGCCAATTTCATCCAAACTTCACAGGAATGTTCCTTTGGTGGTCACCTTTAAAAATTGTTCAAAGAATTTAATTCCATACAGAACTCTGGTTGCCATGGCAACCGAAAGAAAAATCTTTAAATATCTTCTTTTAAACAACCCTAAGAGCTAGAGCTTAGATATTTGGCATGAAACATCTTCTAATGAGTGTCTACCAAGTTTGTTCAAATAAAAGCCCTGGGGTCAAATTTGGCCCCGCCCCAGGGGGTCATAGATTTTCCCTATATGCATATAGTAAAAACTTAAAAAATCTTCTTTTAAAGAACCCAAAGAGCTAGAGCTAAGATATTTGGCATGAAACATCTTCTAGTGAATGTCTACCAAGTTTGTTCAAATAAAAACCCTGGGGTCAAAATTGGCCCCGCCCCAGGGGGTCATTGATTTTCCCTATATGCATATAGTAAGAACTTAAAAAATCTTCTTTTAAAGAACCCAAAGAGCTAGAGCTAAGATATTTGGCATGAAACATCTTCTAGTGAGTGTCTACCAAGTTTGTTCAAATAAAAGCCCTGGGGTCAAAATTGGCCCCGCCCCGGGGGGTCATTGATTTTCCCTATATGCATATAGTAAAAACTTAAAAAATCTTCTTTTAAAGAACTGTAAGAGCTAGAGCTTAGATATTTGGCATGAAACATCTTCTAGTGAATGTCTACCAAGTTTGTTCAAATAAAAACCCAGGGGTCAAAATTGGCCCCGCCCCAGGGGGTCATTGATTTTCCCTATATGCATATAGTAAAAACTTAAAAAATCTTCTTTTAAAGAACCCAAAGAGCTAGAGCTAAGATATTTAGCATGAAACATGTTCTAATGGGTGTCTGCCAAGTATGTTCAAATAAAAGCCCTGAGGTCAAAACTGGCCCGCCCCGGGGGTCATTGATTTTCCTTATATGTGTATAGCAAAAACTTTAAATCTTCTTTGACAAAACCCAAATAGCTAGAGTTTAGATATTAAGCATAAAACATCTTTTTAAGTAAATATCTACAAAGTTTGTTCAAATAAAAGCCCGGGGGTCAAAACTGTTTTTAACTATATGTGTATAGTAAAAACTTAAAAAATCTTCTTTTAAAAAACCCAATGAGCTAGAAATTAGATGTTTAGGGGGGGGGGGGGGGGCTATATACAGGTGAGCGACCTCAGGGCCATCATGGCCCTCTTGTTTAATGGAAATTGTGTTTATTTCTGAGGCTTAATTTGTTTCTTTAAAAGAAAGAGGTATCACGGGTTTCCATCACAAATATCTAATAAAGAATAGAATATAATGCGAAAGACGTATATATGTGAAGAACTCACATTACATGTTTTCTTCAATAAACACATGTATATTATTTTCAAAATCAGCTCTGTATTGCAGTTGCAGTACATGTTTCTATGGTTCACGTTTTCGATTCCACTCGATACAGGATAGAATATAATGAAACATACAAATGAATTTGTTCATTTTTCCTGAATTATTAATATTATTATCATTTTGTTCGGAATCAATCAATCAATTAATTAGTTAATTAAGTCATCAACTGATTTATTTATTTATTTCAAAAACGATAATAAAAACTACCAAAACAAATGGCTGAATCTCTTATCACCACTTACTTATTCAGTTGTTTGAAAAAAAAACTAAAACAATTAATATTCTATGACCATGCCATTTGGTAGAATAATCTGCTTAGTGTTTACCTTTCCCCGGGCAATGACGAGTACGGTACCACATCTACATATAATGATATATTATTAATTTATCTGCCATTTCTTTTTCAAATTTTATAACATTTCTAGTGGACTAATTAACATGCAGTCTACAAATAAAAATGCGTTCATCAACCGTAGAAATGTTTCATAGACTAAACTGCAGTTTTCATGAAATAATCAATTTTTCATTGAAACTAGTTGTTTCAATTATTTAAATCAAAATTTTAATGACACTTTGAAAGCCCTAGCACAA